AGAAGACCTGCGAAGTCGGGTCGAAAAGTTGGCTTTTAATAAAATAGTTTTGCCACTATTTAGCCTATTTTTGACCCCCACCCCGTGACCATCTCCTTCCTTTATTGTATATTATATAAGTAGTCCATTGTTTTATTACATTGAAATTTGAAACTATATAAAAAAATTATTTATATTGGATTATTGACTACATATTTAATATTTAATGGTACAGTGAATATCCTTTATACCCAAAGAGTAGATTAGTTCTAAGAGAAAGATATTTGAGGGAGCCTATGCATATGGCACAAATGTTAAATAATGCTGTTCATTATAGGACTGATATTGAAAATTTTAAAAACATCTTGGATAACTCTAATAAATCTATCTAATTTGTTTTTATCTTTATCTCCATGATCAGCTGTTTTTGATGAAAATCTTCTTTTGATGTAATCCAGTCAATGAATAATTTTAGAAAGAAATGGTGGGGATACAATTTTTGAGTTTGGAACATCGTTTGGAATAGTAAGGAGGTAAACATACTATAAGTCCCCACTCCTCGGTGGTTAGGCAGATTTGAAGGGGGGGCGCCTAGATCACTTTTTATCGGGAAAACTATCCATTGCATTGATAGAGACGTTTTATGCAAAATTAAAGCTGATAAAATTTTCAATATGATTGATTGTATACCTTCTTTCGCTATCTCGCTAAGTTTCCGAAATATCCGCCCTCAACCATGCCTAATTTGGAAAAAAAAAAAAAAAAATTGCCTCGTTTTTTTTAGTGAATCTGTCTACTTAACTCTTGATTGCTTCGTTCTACGATTAAGACATGGGGAAAAAAGTTTTTAATAATTAAATATTTTTCAAGAATATATATTATTTTACTTGTTTATCTCCAACGGTTTAAAAGTTTCTCTATAGTAGTAAAGATTACTATAGTTGCTTTATGGCATAGTGTTATAGCAATATGAACCGTTGGAAATAAACTAGTAAAATAATATATATTCTTGAAAAATATTTAATTATTAAAAACTTTTTTCCCCATGTCTTAATCGTAGAACGAAGCAATCAAGAGTTAGCTAATCAAATACAGTAAAAAAGATGAGGTAAACATTTTATTTTGCCAAATTAGCGATATCTCGGAAACTACGTGAGATAGCGAAAAAATACATATAATCAATCATATTGCAAATTTTATCAGCTTTAATTTTGCATGGAAAGTCTTTGTTGTAGCGATGGATAGTTTTCCTGATATAAGCAAAAATCCGAAATACAGTCATAAATATGAGGCAAATTTTTTTTTCTCAAAATTTGCCAAAGTTGAGGATGAATATCTCGGAAACTAAACAAGTTAGCGAAAGAAGATATATAATCAATCTTATTGAAAAATTTATCAGCTTTAATTTTGTATATGTATATATTGTATATAGGTATGACTGTGTTTTTATTTTTTTTAATTTACTTATCTTTATTTTATTTTTTTTATTGTACATAGTTTTTGATTATTATTTTACTTTTGTTATTGTTATATTTTCTGTATATATGGTGGGAATGTATTCATATGTCACTATCTATCTATCTAACAATCTTTTGTCCACATGACAGATAGTTACAATTTTAAATAAAATTTTATTTAAATTTTAAAAATTGTGTGGAACGCCTTTGTCGATGCGATGCATAGTTTTCCTGATATAAGCGTATATCCGAAAAAAAAATTGACTTTCGAGGCGCTCCCTAATAGCACTGGAGCCAGGGCCCAAAAATCAACCTGATCGCAGGCCAAGGTTTGATTGTAAATTGTGAAAGTGTATGTTATTCTGAGTAAAAAAAACCTTGTCTGCCGTTCCAGAGCCGCTGCTTTCAAAAATGGCGGCTGATTTAAAATATATTAGGCCAATAATTTGAGGATCGAAACGGGAAATCCATTGCAATAAATGTGAGAAAAGTTTCTATTTTTTTAACTTGTATATATGGATTTAGACATGTAAAAAACAAAATCGCTAACGCGGGCCACCAAGGTAAAACTTTTTACATCCAAAGAAGTCAGATTTTTCCGATATTTTTTGGGGTTTTCACCTATAACTCCTCAAAAATGCATCAAAACGAAAAATATTTCTTCAACAAATTAAAGAACGTTAAATTTTGCGTCAAACTATTACAGAAACATTAAAATTCGGTTACGCTGTAAGGTATAAAACCACGGTCAACCACAGCTGAGTTTTACCAAATTTGTCAAAAACTGAGAAAAAGTACTATAAATGCTCCTGTAACTTGGAAATGAGTTCCCTTAGTGGAAGAACCCATAGAATCAAAGTTGTAGAGCATCAAATTTTGCGTCAACTGAGTACCAACTATTTTAATGTAGGTCACTGGCTGCGAAAAATATCCGTAATCTCTCGATGGTTAGAAATTAGTAATTAAGGTAAACCTGATTTTCAATATTTCAACAGTATGGGTGTCTTTTCTAATGAGTTAGTTTTGTTTAAAGTCTGTTACATGCAGTATAAGCTTCTTTTCTACCTCTCAACAGCAAAAGATTTTGGTAAACGATGTGCCCGAAAGATTCCGAATTTTATAAAGGATTAAGGAATTCCGATTCAAGATATATAATTGGCCTAAAATAAAAATGTCAGTACTCAATGGACGCAAAATTTGATGCTCTACAACTTTGATTCTATGGGTTTTTCCTCTTAAGGAACTCATTTCCAAGTTACAGGGCCATTTATAGTAATTTGTCTCAGTTTTTGACAAATTTGGTAAAGTTCAGAGTCGGTTGACCGTGGTTTTATACCTTACCGCGTAACCAAATTATAATGTTTATGTACTCGTTTGACGCAAAATTTAACGTCCTTTAATTTATTAAACAATACATTTTTTGCTTTGATGCATTGTTTAGGAGTTATAGGTGAAAACCCCAAAAAATATCGAAAAAATCTGACTTTTTGGCTGTAAACAGTTTTCCCTTGGTGGTCCGCGTTAGCAATTTTGTTTTTTACATGTCTAAACCCATATATACAAGTTAAACAAATAAAAACTTTTCTCACATTTTTCGCAATGGATTTCCCGTTTCGATTCTCAAATTATTGGCCTAATATTCTTTAAATCAGGCGCCATTTTTGAAAGCAGCGGCTCTGGAACTGCAGACAAGGTTTTTTCTACTCACCACCTAGGAGTGGGGTCTTTTAATATGTTTACCTTCTTACTATTCCAAACAATGTACGTAAGTCAAAAATTGTGTCTCCGCCATTTCCTTATATCATCATTCATTGGCTAGACTAACTGCAAATTTAATAATTTACAGGGTGGTTTTTATTTTTATTTTTTTTTAAACTTGCTATTACTCCATTACGAAGTTTAATAAGGATCTAACTGGTAAGCTGATTGCCCTCCACCCGCCGGTATCTCTTCTTTATAATAAGCCAGTCCCCCCGAACTGACTTCCTGCTAGTGGATATCGGCTTGTGGTGGCGGAACGTTCTTCCTACCTTGTGGTTTACGGTAAAATATGTTAATAGCGAAGGGCTAGGCTAACTGTTTCATGCAAATTTTACAGCTAGTATCCTCCGCGACCAGAAGGGTACCCAATCTTAGATTAAAAACCTCTATTAAACGTAAATACAAATAATAAGAGAAAAAGAGTGTGACAATAATAGTAACGGTAAATGGACTCATGGGTGTACGCTGGAGAGGGCATAGGGGGAGGGAGAAGGTTGCCCCCTAAATAATTTGAAAGCTAATAAAACCTAATATAATACAAAAGATTTGCTAAAAAATTCGAGAGAATTATTATTTTTTAAAATTTTTGTTTTATGTATATATTGTATTTCATATGTATTTATAAATTGTAATAGTAATAACAAATACAACTTTTCTGAAAAAAAAAATCCGTTTTTCCCCCACTCAAAAATGAAAGTTATGTTCGCTCTTGTTTCCGATTTGGCCAAATCCAGATACCTATCCTTCCATAATAAACTTCATAACCATCCGAATCCTCTTGTTTCTAACCTTGCTCCCTCTTCGATTCCTGATAACCCTCCGAGGCGTCTGAAAAGAAGATGGCCTCGTGATCTTCTCATGTAGACAAACTATTAGAGTGCTACCAGTGGGTAGTTTCTCAAGAAGCGTGTTTCATGTGATAATATTTCTCTGTAAACATTTACTTGATGTATTCATGCTAATACAGTTGTAAATATCATAATAAAAGTTAAAAAAAAAAAAAAATGTTCGCTCTTGATTGAACCTATTGGTAATAGGTTATAGGTATAGGTATAGGTTATAGGTATAGGTTCGTTATAGGTTGGAACCTATAACATTACTGATTATAGATCCAATACCAATATTTCTATCCTACGGCTAAATAAATGCCCATCCCACCATTCTTCTGCTCCACAGTTGAAAACATAAGCAATTTCTTTGACTAAATCCTCTCCTGCAATTACCTCATTCCATCGCTTCCTCCACCTCCTACCCTACACGTAGAATCATAGTACCCTTTCACATCGTTTAAAAATATTTTTTGCTCTCAGCATATTTATGTCGGGATATTAGCTTTAGTTCTTACTAAACTATTTATATGAAAAACCACGGAGTTGTGATCAGAAGATAACTGACAGACTGAATGAGCAAAAACGTTAAACGAAAAACACTTGATAAGAGCAATGCCGATAACGCCTTACCGCGGGGTTGTTTTTGTCCCCTTTGACGAATTTGACCTGGGTGATAATTCGGCGCATCTAGGGGTGATTTCTTTAATATATCGTTATCATCGCTGTGTATATACTTGTTTTATTACCTATGTTTTAGCTTTATTTTTTTATATATTTCTTTTGTCCAAATTTATAGGTAATTTTATGAACAATATTGTTATTCCTAAGAGAATTTGTCCCAGAATAAAGTTTTTTTTATTTTTATTTCTACAGCATTTCACGATTGAATTTTTGTTTGTTAGGTACCCCTATTTGGAAGCCATTTGTTTTGTGTTTATATATTTATTTACACTAGTTTTTTTTTTTTTTTCAGACCGAAAGTTGCAGAAGAACCTCTAAAAGAAGAAATGACTCGCAATGATACTAAAGGTAGATGATTATCCACTGTATTATCGTTAAAATTTTCTTTAATTTTAGAGTCAAGACTAAGTTCATATATCTCCTTTTATATTGATCATATATTCCCTGATTTTTATTCCTACAATAACAAAATATAACTTCATGTGGGCATGGATGATGACGCGAAAGAAAAAATCGCATACTTCTTTGTTGACCACCACAGAATATAAATTAAATTCTTATAAGCAGTATTTTGCTCCAGTGAATGGTTTATTCACAAAATAATCCTGTCTGAAGCAAACGAAAAAAAAAAAACAAGGAAGAAAGGCAAATACAATATTAAGTGATAAACTAAATTTTGAAAACAAAAGAGTTGTTGATATTGATTATATAAAGATATTGTAATTTAATAATAGATTGATTTAAATCGGGCTTGGGATTTTTAAATTTAAATATTTAAAAAATTAATTAGAATAATTATTTACTGAAAAGATAATTTTCAGCAAAACAAAGCTACATAGAAGGTAGACCGACGTGACAGAGATAAATTCTATCGATGGCAAACTTTTAAAAGTTTTTTTGTTAATTTTCTGTTGCAAAATATTGAAGTTTGGAATTATTCCTTTTACAATTAAATTCCTGATTTAATACTTAATAGATTATGAAAGGCATTTTTAACTTTTATTTTAACTAAACACAGGAACTTAACCGACGTTATGGCCAGCTATATAGACTACTTAATAGAAAATCTAAACTTTCTATTGAAAACAAACTACTGATCTACAAGACAATATTAAAACCCATGTGGACCTACGGACTAGAACTGTGGGGGACAACCAAATTTTCTAACATCAAACGCATTCAATCCTTCCAGTCCAAAGTCCTCCGTACAATAGTCGATGCTCCCTTTTATGTCTCTAATAAAACCCTGCACAATGACCTTAATATTCCATTTATTCTTGATCTTATCCCAGACAGATTCTCCAAATTTCATCAGAACCTTACCCATCACCCTAATCCCGTAGCACAATCCCTATCTAGCACCACTCATCCCTACAATCCTTCTCGCAGGCTGAAACGGCAGTGGCCCCGTGACCTTTTGTAACATGTATATACTGGAGTTCTGGCAATGGCCAGATTCTCCACTCAAGTCATGAGTGTCCGTGGTTGTAGCGCCCTTACTCAATCTCCGCTGGCTTTCAATGCCAGTGAAATGGTTGAGGAAGAAGCGCAGGGATCTCCTAAAACCTTGCTTTCCCTCCACGTGTGGGGGATAAGTATGGTTCGGAGTTCCTATGGCCGACTGTAAATAGTGTAATAGGTATGCCTGCGTCTAAGATGTTTATTTTCATTACTTTTTTTTTTTTTTCTCACTATGATATTTTATTTTGTTCTTTTGTAGCTTTATATTATTTGAAGTTAGCTTTTTTTTTTATTTTTTTTTTTTTTAATTTGTAAATATGGTGTGAATGTGCTCTCAGAACTCTATTATAAATGTCCTTTATTAAGACAGATTGTAATATTTATCAATAAACCAAAAAAAAAAAAAAAAAAAAATTAACTAAACCGGTTCTTTGGTATAAATCTGCGCAAACTTCAATTTTATTTTTATTTATTTATTAAAAAATATACGGACTTCATTACTACCAGTGGATCACCCTAGAAGTGAAGCCGTTGCACATTTCAGGATGAAAACCGGACATGACTACCTCCAAGCCATCTATACCGTATTGCAGTTGTCGAATCAGCAATATGTCCACTTTTTCGACAAGGATTCACGACTGCTCTGTATCTACTGACTTGTCCCGGACTACAAGACATTAGAAATGAAATTTACTGGGCTGCTAGACGTTGCATGGCCGAAAGCGCTCAAGACGAGCAAGGCATAAGATATATATTTATATATATATATATATATATATATATATATATATATATATATATATATATATATATATATATATATATATATGTATATATATATAACAATCTGTCATAGGGCAATAATTATATGAACACATTCACACCGTATATACAGAAAAAAATAAAATAGACAAAAGCAAAATAACAACTAAATAATAATCAAAATCACAGGCTAACAAAAAAATCATTTCGTGAATAATCGGAACACTAACAGTTACTTATATGAAAGGCTAGTTAATTTAGTAAACACTTCATTCATTTATAAATGTCGTAATAAGTTAGATTAAGTACATAAAATGAGACTTAATATCCAGAAGCTAAAAATTTATTTATATTTCAGATATTAACTGAAGTTTAAATATACTGCGTATTTCTATATCAAACGAAAAAAAAATGCTTAAAACTTTATAACCCATATTCCCTTCAACTTTTTGCGTTGTCAACTCACGAATGAGTCAACCCATGTGTCTCATATGGATTGGTGAATTGGCTGATTGGGAAAGCTCTGATGGTATTTCTGGTTGAAGAGTGGCAATTTGAATGACTCTCCCTCCCCCCCTCCCCCAGTTAAATATCCATTCCAACCAGATTTACTGGCTCGCTGGCATTTGGGCCCGCCAGTTATTAATGCGAGCATCGGAGCATGCTGATTGCGTGTTAGTACCGCTGTTATGGTATTAGCACATGCCAGGGGTGTCTCGCGTCCCATCCAAGTGTCAATGATGTGTAAAAGTCATGGCATAGGGATTCACCATTCAATAATCATTGAAATGAATGATATAGCAATCTATACGTTTACGATTCTTGTCATTATTTCCTCCTCTTTCCAGACAAGTGTTTGGCTACATAGTTCATCTTAATGGACTTGAAAGAACATAGGCCTACATTAAAAAAAAAAAAAAAATTGTATGAAAGGTCCGCTTGTCATGTCAGAAAAGATTCTTACCATTATTTTGAAATAGTCTGATAAAACTTGTACTATTTTTACTTTCACTTACCTATATATGAAATAAATAGTAAGGGACAGTATTGCTATCGTGAAATTTTTTGGATCTGAGTTTTCAACGGAAATACATATTTTGAAGTCTACTGATTCCAAATAACCAAGTCTCACAAAATGGTCAGTGTGTATGTGTCTGATCTGTCTAGTTCTAAAACGAAAAGTCGTATGAAAATGAAGTGAAACAAGGCAGTGAATTCCTTTAAAATTGTGGTATAAAAATGATATCAGGAATTAAATTCAGTAGTTTTAAAAAATGAATTTCCAATACGTTAATACTATTTCGGCTACAACTTACAGAGAACTAGAACCTTTTCTCTGATTTATTTTGTTGATTTTGACCTTGAAGAATTAAATAGCTGATTACAGCTCTTTTTTATAGTATTGTTTCTGCCTTTGCATTGCGTGCCTTTCTGGTTTATAATATATCAATCGATTTTTTTGTTTTGTGTTATGTAAAAAAGAAAAACATATCACTGATTGTATTAAACGAATTCAAATATATAATATTGAAAGAATTTCTTTTTGCAATCGAAGAACGAAGTGTTTTTACTCAATATTTCGCTTTGCTCAATTTGTATATTATCTAACATAAAGCTATATACTTAGATGATTTTGGATAAACAGTTATTTATAACATGCGAAATATTGGGCTTTTTGAATGCGAAAAAAACGAATAGCAACTTTATTTACTTCAAAACATATTTAATGGAGTTTCCATCTGTATATCGTGTATATCTATAATGCTTGCTTTATTCTTTTTTTTCGAACCAAAGTAGGACAATACAATAGTTTTTTTGGTTGTAATTTTATTCTAGATATCCGTCTGGTTTAGGAAATCATTAATATTTGGCATAGTAGGAGACCAATTTTGGCATAATATTGATAGAATATGTACCAATTGAAGAAGTGGGTTCACATACTTTTTAAACGAAAAATTATAGTCCTGGAGCCCTTGGCAAAAAATGTGTCATATTTTATACTAAAGTTTGTCCTAATAAATTGACCATATCCGCAGGCCTGGTGAGAAAAATGCACGTCTGCCAATATATAGCCGCTGGAATACAAAATGGCGGTGCATACAAAATGTGAAGATAGTTAGAGACACTACATAGTTTGTAAGCGTATATATAGAGAGGGCTTATTGATGTATAAAGCTACCAACCCTTTAAATTTAGAGTATTTACAGTCTTGAGTCTTAAGACATGAAATAATAGTCAGTTATCCAATACCCGTGGATTTCAGTTCGACAAATTGAATTTACGATTCAAAAAGTTTATTTCTTTTTGGTTTTCATTTATATCAGTGAAACTATGCGTTCTATCTATAATAATGTCAAGTGTGAAATTAAATCTGAAAAAATTGGCACAAAATGGTTATATTAGTTTTTTCGTTGTATTCTATATTTCACTAATGTCGAGGAAAAAAAGTTTGCTTCTCATTTTTATCATTATTGGACTCGCCAACTCTTTATCCTTTCATTTTACGAAAAATTTATATGGAAGAAAGTTATTTAATGTTACCTTTTCTTCAAGAATATATATTACTTTACTATCTTATCGTCAACCGTTCGAAGGCTAGAGCAATTATAACTTAATGATTAAACTCCGAAACTATACAGAAAAAGCTCTTTATCTGTGTATAAGACAACATACATGTGTACACATTGGCTTAAATATATATTATATACTGTCTTATATATATTAAGTTGAAACTTGTATTTTACGCCTCGAAAAACTCACAAGTTATCAACATTTTGTCCTAGGTTTCATTCAATTTTATTCTCGAATATCATAAAAATTGATATAACTTCAACATGTCTCCACCTATCCCCACACAAATTAGCCAGGATTTACGGCTCTATAAAGTACGCGAAATGGCACAAACCCGATAAATGGCCCGTAAATAAATTAAGTGTAGAGATATAAGATAAAATAGTTTGAGGAGTTTTTATTTATTTATTGCATATAAAGGCTCAAAATCTTTTTGTGGCTTTGAAGAGCAATAATTTAGCTTTGCAACTGTTGTAGTAACACCGACTTAGGAGAAACTGCTGACTGAGGAGTAATGAACGTTTTAGTAAATGATATGAAAAAAAAATAATCCA